CGGCTGTTGATCAAGTCCCAGTGCTGTATCTGGTGTTTGTCACAACGCGCTATTATCCAAGTCATCTTGAAAACATTCTTCTTCCAAATGTCGGCTACATATTACGGGTTTTTAGTAGCAGTTGAGCAAAAATGGCCGCTCCCAGACTCAGTGATCGCAACAAAATTACTGTTTTTATTTTTTTCCTGATTAAAGCTAAATTCATTAAATCACCGCAAACGTATTAGTTTTAGGTATAAATAATGATCCATTGATTATTCCTTGCTGAGTGGACTTTTCCTTTAAAGCTGAGGCTATTAGCATCATTTTATATAATATCTCCCTGTGAGTATTTGCAAGTTGTAGTTGCAAACTAGTGAGCGGTTTCTCTCAGCGTACCTCTTGTAGTAGTAGATCTCCTCCGGGTCTGCGATGCCATACTCGCGGAGTTTTAGGATCATCTGAGCGCTCTTTCGAACGGCCTGGTCATAGCGTTCACTGCGGGACAAGAAGTTTGGGTCCTCCTCGTTGAAGTCTGGATCACTGAAAACCAGCGACTCTACAGAAGATAAACAAAATATTAAACATTATGAAGGCAGAGCTATTTTAATAGCCCAGAGGAGGAAATTATTAGTATTAAATCTGCCGCATATTAGGGCTGGACAAAATGTTTTTCCTTCTTGTTTTTTTAATCAGTGATGCTTAGAAAATTGTTCAACAGTAGGTTCTATGATGCACTTTATCTTATTATTATGAAAATTAAATAAATGTTTTTAAAAAATGTGTTTTTGCATAAATAGGGATGAATATTTAATTCATATGGGATTCAAATTTATGGCATTCATTAAGGGCATCCAACATTTTTGTTCAGTCCTCGGGTGAAAAATGAAATCCTTGATTTTGTGGATTTGTCTTCTGAGGACGACGGTGTTCTGTCAGATGAGCATACTCCGTCAGACCAGCATACACATAGTCAATATGCAACACGTCAGATTTGCATACACGCATGCTAGTCCCGTTTATCCCTTTAGTATCTCCACAGGCGTGTATCTCTTTAGTCACAATTTAAGACTGCCATACACTTAAAAAAATACACCCAAAAGTAAGTAATTAAATTGTTTCTTTTGTACTTGACTAAAGGGATACATGCCTATCGAGGTAGTTTAAATGTATTTTTCGTACAAAAATGAAAGATAAACTAAAAGGATAAACAGGTGTTGATTATGGGTATACTGGTCTGATGGGGTATGCTGGTCTGATGGGGTATGCTGGTCTGATGGGGTATGCTGGTCTGATGGGGTATGTTGATATGACAGAACACCAGCACTCGCCAGCAGGAATCCTGGTAGGTCTATTACTACTTCTGGGATATACCAGTGAAGATTCTCAGCCATCCAGGTCATAGTCATTCCAAAAAAGTTTAAAAACAATTTTCTATTCAAAATGTCAGGAAAAAGTTTGAGGTTTTATACAGTAGCCTGACAAAGCCTCGTTTTGGCTTAGAAACATGCAAATTGAAATGGACGATTGGAATGGGGGTCATTTGGTTTCTTTGTTAGCTTGTAACACCCCATACCTGTCTATGTCTCTGAAAGGGGGGGGGGGCATTAAAGGGAATTGTTGGCCTGACTGAAGAGGCGAATTGAAAAAGCTTCCTGGATTGGAAGCGAAACATCTTAAAGCTTGGAAACAAAGTCCAGTGGATTGTTTTTTTAACTTTTTTGGAACACTTCTGGGATGAAAGAAGGCTGCTGCTCTTCTTCTCTACAGTAAAGAGCTTTTTTCTATCTGAAAATATTCATATAAAAAAAATTACCATTGATAATCGATGAGTGGAAATCAAAGATGTGCCGCCCTACTGTTTACAATCTATGACTGTTTAACGCATTACATTTGGAGCATGTTCCTATATATCACCCTTAATCAGAAGATTTCTATTTTATCCCATAAAGTATATAAAAAATAAAAACAACACTGAATGCATGTTTTAGTTATTTTAACCTACAAGATGTTTAACATTTTAAGGTGGGAATAACAGAAAAGCATGAGATTACAAAAATGCTTTCTACAGAAGAGGATTAGGGCCACTGGAAAAAAAAAGTTAACTGATTTTTAAATTTTATTTAAGTTTAACATGGGGAAAAAAAAGTCAGAATTCTGAGATTAAAGTCAGAATTCTGACTTTTATTTCAGTTTAGTATAAGAAAAAATTCAGAATTCTGAGAAAAAAGTCAGAATTATGACTTTTTTCTCATACTAAACTGAAATAAAATTAAAAAATTAGTTAACTTTTTTTTTCCAGTGGCCCTAATCCTTTTCCGTAGCTTTCCATTTGAATATTCAAATAAATGTTTTTGCATTTGTTTTACCCTCTATACAGATAAACATAGACTTAACATTATGCCAGAGGTGACACTGCTTGGTTTTATTACCTGTTTGGCATAGATTTTGAGTAAAGGAAACTAAAGCCGAATTTACACCTCATACCTGCCCAATCACTATAATATAAAACATCTTATAAATATGACATTATATGAGATTTAACGCAGAATTCCTTCTTAATGATGATTAAAAGGGACACAGATCTGAAACTTAGAATTAAGTTAGCAAGTTTTGTTTTAGTAGCTTTCCTAATGAATGTGTTAAGCTCTTATGGTAGTCAGGAAGATAACTGTGAGCAACACCAGCTTTAAAAACTAATAAACGTCATTTCAAGCTCACCAATTTCTCGTCTTCTTTTGGTCTTCTCCGGGCCTCCGTCCAAAATATACGTCAATTTTTCGACGTCAAACGCCGCATTTTGGCGTTCTCGTATAATATCGGGATTCATTGCTCTATAAGCAGAGCGAAACACGCGACTTTATAGACGGAAAACAAGCGAAAAACTGTTGTATAACTAGAGACACCTCTGTCACCTGCTGGAAACCCCGGTAATGTCCTCACTGCGCAGCCGCAGAGGGGCGGGCGCACGTACGTTACGTGACGTGTGTACCCGGAAGTCCTTCTCCTTCTCCGGACTTCACTTATTTTTTATGGTTATTAATCATGTCTATGCTTCCCCCGGCCGCAGTGTTCCGGCTTCCTTGGGAAGTGAACTCTTTGAAGGAAGGGGAATCAGTGCGAACATTCGGCAGGTCGGGATTTTGGTTTCGGTTCCGAATCGCAAAGTTTCTGGCTTTGTTTTCTCGCAGGGATGGACTTGTGAACCTTCCTGGGTCAGGGTTACCTGGGTTGGCCGCAGGGCAACGTTAAACATTATATATAGTTTAGAACAATTTGATTTTAAATAATATTTTAATAGTACCACAGTGTTGTGACATTAGGATTCACCTGCTGAGAGGAGGACTTGATAATCTTTCTTCCTCATATTGTTTGTTACACTGATATCTTGTTTTATGGCTTTGCAGGCTGGTCTGCTATCAGCCAGATGAATCCAGGGCCACCCTCTCTGCCCAGCATGCTTCCAAAGAGCACCTTGTGTTTGTCCACACCCAGTTTGTTGAACCATTTAACCCGATAATAGGAGCCCAGTACCTGGTTTTGGGTGAAACAGAAAACTCTGAAGGTAACAGACCTCTCTCATAGTAGGCCACATTTTCAAAGTTAGGTATACATATATAAGTTTGAGAACTTCTCTATCACATGTTTGCATGCAGTAGTGATGGTTTAATGAGGCATCTTGAAGCCAAACTGTATTGATGCTGTCTCACAGAATACTGACACCTGCTGGACATTTAAAGACACTACAGGCAGTTTATTGGGCAGACTAATTTTATGACCTAGTACAATGATATCATTTAAATTATTGTTGGTTATATTGTATTATTTCATACCTATGTTTAAACTGAAAAGTTTTTTGATATTTTTAGATGCAGCCAATAAATCCTGTAAACTTATATCATAACGTGAAAATTCAGGGGAAATGAGGATGCTTGTGGGTGAGGATTTTAAATCCTATAAAAAAAAAAAAGTACAGTAAAAAACAGCAAATAAACTAAGAGTCAGTTTGAAATTAACTTTAATTCAAATAAGTTGAGTGTTAACTTAGAGGAAAAATGTG